AATCAATGAAAAACAGATAATTCTAATGTTATTCTATGGGATATTCTTTAGTTATAATTTTATAGTTATGTGTATATGATAATAGTGTTTTATTCTGGAGAGTCCTCACAATTTAATGTAATTTAATAGAAAGTTTATTTACTAAGATCATTTTATACAAAAATCTTTATTAAAAAATTAAGAATAAATCACAAGAAATATGTGCTCCAAATGCCATCACATATGCGGTGAAAGGGATCACTCAATACGAGTATCATATTTGTCGGGTCCAGACCTTTCACAAGGGGAACGCCATCCACGCCATCGTTATTCAGTAATTGCGGCCATTCCTGGTCTTGATGTCTGGATATTAATATTATAATCGATTTTTAAAATAAATAAAAATGAATTAAATAATTATAATTGCATATAATATACCCGTCTTTCGCAAACTTAGTCCACATTTTCATGACTTCTCGACTGAAAAACATATCCTCGGGTTCGTAGTCCTTCTCGTGAATATAGGGTAAACCAAATACAAACGGTATGTCCTCCGAATGACAGATTCCTTCAGTTTTCTGATCGCAACTAATGATTTGAGAAAATCTTTTACTTCCATAAAGGAGTTCATAAAAGTAAACCCTTTGCCACTCCTTCACAGTTATGGCAAACTGTTTGGCGAACAGATATGTCGGACACTTGAGGACTAAATCCCCGACAAGGTCGCCCACAGCCCAGTGCATCGCCACCGGACTACTGGTGTTGACGTTTTGCAGGTAAAAGTCGGTCACCTTTTTGACGTCTACCCCATGGAAAATGAGATCTAATTCTTGAACACCATTAGTAAAGTCTTCGACAGTTATATTAAGCGGATGTTTGACAACCCATGGGACAAACGATGAGCCCTCGTTACGTACTACACCCGCTAATAAGTCGATGTCTGTAGTAATAAATAAGTATAATAACAAGTTTATTAATAAATTGTTAATCTAATATAAGTAAATATTTTAAAATTTTCAAAATTATTCAATATTTATAAATAGAAACATGAACAGTAATTAATAAAGCATCCAAATCCAGTTATTTAACTATTTGTTGCGATAGCCAAGAACTTCATGAGATTAAGTATGCATACGAATCATGTAATAAGAGTCATTTTAGGAGACTTTTATTTTAACTATAAATAACTATTTGATGGGTTCGTAACTATTTTAATTATTTTAGATTTTTATGCTTAATTAGGGAAAAAATGGTAAAATTTAAGACAATCACTATAAAAATAATTATTATAATGAATAAAACAAACTATAAAATTAATTGATTTATATTTTATACAAATACAAAATATACTGTAATTTTACAAATATACTAAAACCTTTAAATCCCTTAGTTTATAAGAAATTAAAATTGAATTTTTCTTTTGATATTAATTCAATCCTTTTTAGTGACTAAAATATGGTTATATTTACGAGTTAATTAATGAGTATAGTTAATTAGTTGTCAAAATTCATAAATAATGCAAATTATTTG